GCCGCCGCCGTATCAAATGCTGTCAAGAACATCCCTGCAGTGGTCGCAGCATCTGGAGCCCCAGCAGACACAGATGATATCTCCACTGTGTCCACAGAAACTAAGAGTATCGGTATCAAAGCACGTTGGGCCCACCACTAGAACCTGACTCTGGACACGGCGCAGCTGGGTCTCAGGAGTCAGGGGGAGTCCTGCAAACAGATCTCATAGACAGACTTCTCCTCACTGAAAGGCTTCCTGACAGAGTTGATTAAAGAGCTGCTCCATGAGTAAGGTAGGTCCTATCAGATAAGCAAAGAAAGTGGGCACCTGGAGAGGGAAATGTCAGAAAAACAGCAGGGTCAAGGGACTTGTTCTTCTGCTAAAAACGTGCTGACTGTGGTGATCAGTCAGTCAAGGGGACGATGTGACATAGAAACTCCTCCTCTTTCTCTTCCCTGCCAATGACTTGACCCTAAAATTACATCACCACTTCACCTCCGTCTTTTTGCCATTCCTTTAACCCTTTTGATACTGATCCTTATCCCAAAGGAACCATCACCAGTCATGATGCCTAATGTGTTTATAACACTGGTCATTGTTTGAAGGAAAAGCTCCTTGACTGTAAACATTTTTGTTTTTACTGCAAGGCATAACTTATGCAGTAAAATGAGCACAGGGATGTATAGAGTTAATGCAAGAAAGAGGGGGAAAAAAGAGGGGCAGAGGAAAGCCAAGGAGTCCACTGAAATTCAATGTAAAGATGAGGTGCCTGCAGAACTATCTGGTAGGGTGCTGCCTAAAACATACAATGAAAAAAACAAAGAAAAAGAAAATAGTCTAAACACATAAAAGGCTAACCTCAAAAACATGTTTATTCATGAAAAACATACAAAGTAAAAACATTGTCTCAGGGACCTAGTAATCGCTCCCAACCGTAAATCCCCCCCCCCCCCAACATGGGGGAGACCTCCCACAATGGACAAATTATAGATGGTAACAAAGAGTATCCCCTGTGTGTGCACAGCATCTGCACCTCCCCAAAAAGTCAACTCACCCCCCCAACATATTCCAAAGCACTGATATTAATATTCTTTATAGTAAGGGGTCACACAGCTTCTGGTGAGTGTTTAGCTGAGTTGGGGAATGAGCATCTAAGCACAAGTACTACCAGAATGATTTTCATTGATGGCACTCTAACCTGTACCTTGATCACTGGCGATTTTATGGATTATGCTTTACAGACTGTTGAATTCATTATAACACTCTGGATATGAAATACGTTTTTTAAATAGGTTGTGCTTAATACCTGTTTTTTTTTATTATTATTTATTTATTTACCAATTTGCACCATTCATAGCTTTACATATTTTTAAGTGATTCATGAAATTGTGACACATTAGTAGTTTTAATATTATTAATTTACAAGTTTGTATTACGGAATCAAAAACTAGACACAGGATGGTTTTTGGATATTTATTTGACATATACACATTTACACAGGGATAAAGCAAAGGGGGAGATTTACCAAAATGAGTGCACTTAGAATCTGCTGCAGCTGTGCATAGCAACCAATCAGCTTGCACCAGAGTTTTCATCCTCCATTCTTAGTAAAAAAGAACCTGTAGTATTTAAGGAGTTTTTAAGACAACCACTCTCACTGATTTTTCACCATAGTTATTTAGGTTTTGCAAGGCCCCATGAGAGCTTAAAAAAGAGGCAGAGCCTCAAAACCTTACCACAGAGACCAAGACAGTTTGTGCCATCCAGCAGAGTCCACTGGGCACCCATCGCTTCCTGCGGCATCATTTCCTGTGATGTCACTTCTAATCTGTTGATTCTTCCTAGTTGCAAGACACAATGAATGTTACATCTCATCGCCCATACCTCTCCCTTCAGCTGGCCCATCTTTCATCCCCTGCCTGCCTAGTTGCTACAGAAGGCACGGATGGTATCCTCTATCACCAGCACTTTGGGATATGTGAGGTGTTGGACAGGGACACTTCTCTGGATGTAAGTGACATGGTTTTAATTGCAAAGTTTTAATTTCAAGATTTCATTGTTTTTATCCACTTGCCCTCCCGAGGATTTACCCCCATTCCTGACCAGGCCATTTTTTATGATACGGCGCTGCGTTACTTTAACTGACAATTGCTCGGTCATGCAATGCTGCACCCAAATTAAATTTTCAGCCTTTTTTCCAACAAATAGAGATTTCTTTTGGTGGTATTTGCTTGCCTGTGCGTTTTTTCATTTTTTGCGCTATAAATAAAAAAATGACAATTTTGAGAAAAAAACAATATTATTGATTTTTTGCTATTAAACATGTCCAGTAAAAAAAACATTTAAAAAATCAGATTTAGTCATAAATTTAGGCCAAAATGTATTTTGCTACATATCTTTGTTAAAAAAAATCCCAATACGTGTAAATGAATTGGTTTGTATGAAAGTTATAGCATTTACAAATGGAGGTATAGATACTGGAATTTTTTTTTACTAGTAATGGCGGTGATCAGCGACTTATAGCGGGCCTGCTGCAGGAATTCTGGCACTGGGGGGAACTGACTTGGTGTCACTGACATCCCCAGTGACACAAATACAATGATCAGTGCTAATAAAAAGCACTGACACTGTACCAATGGCACTGGGCATGAAGGGGTTAACATCTGGGGTGATCAAAGGGTTAACTGTGTGCTGTATGCTGTTTCACTATGTTGGCTGTGTGTGTGTGCTTCACTGTAAGAACACTGATTTGTATGGCTCTGCTCTACCTCTATTTGGGTTCTGACTGGATTCACCTGGCAATTTTTATGGTATCCCACAGGGGTAATTACAACCAGGGGCGGACTGACAACTCATGGGGGCCCCCGGCAATAGGGGATCATGGGGCCCCTGTCCTTGCCCAAACTCAAAAAAGCCTATGAAAAAGGTTCCAAGGGCATCTCATGGGGCCTCCTACTGACCCCGGGCCCTCGGGCACTGCCCAAGTTTCCAAATGGTCAGTCCGCCTCTGATTACCACAATTAATTACTATGGGTCAGTCAGTTTCCAAACCTCCACACAGCTGAGTGCTGTGTCCATGCTACTAATATTAGATCAGAAGAGACGATTATTGCCAGATAACTAGGACTTTGTTCCTGACTAGTTGCGTAATAGCTGGAGGGTCTCCTCATCACCTTAGATCTTGTCTTCAGGTCCACAACACCAAGTTATATGCTGCATCATCCTCAGACAGCCCTCCAATGGGACTTTGCTGCAACATTAATCTGGAGACATGGCTATAAATACCTATATACAGTCAGGTCCATAAATATTGGGACATCAACACAATTCTAACATTTTTGGCTCTATACACCACCACAATGAATTTGAAATGAAACAAACAAGATGTGCTTTAACTGCAGACTGTCAGCTTTAATTTGAGGGTATTTACATCCAAATCAGGTGAACGGTGTAGGAATTACAACAGTTTGCATATGTGCCTCCCACTTGTTAAGGGACCAAAAGTAATGGGACAATTGGCTTCTCAGCTGTTCCATGGCCAAGTGTGTGTTGTTCCCTCATTATCCCAATTACAATGAGCAGATAAAAGGTCCAGAGTTCATTTCAAGTGTGCTATTTGCATTTGGAATCTGTTGCTGTCAACCCTCAAGATAAGATCCAAAGAGCTGTCACTATCAGAGAAGCAAACCATCATTAGGCTGAAAAAAACAAAACAAACCCATCAGAGAGATAGCAAAAACATTAGGCGTGGCCAAAACAACTGTTTGGAACATTCTTAAAAAGAAGGAACGCATCTGTGAGCTCAGCAACACCAAAAGACCCGGAAGATCACAGAAAACAACTGTGGTGGATGACCAAAGAATTCTTTCCCTGGTGAAGAAAACACCCTTCACAACAGTTGGCCAGATCAAGAACACTCTCCAGGAGGTAGGTGTATGTGTGTCAAAGTCAACAATCAAGAGAAGACTTCACCAGAGTGAATGCAGAGGGTTCACCACAAGATGTAAACCATTAGTGAGCCTCAAAAACAGGAAGGCCAGATTAGAGTTTGCCAAATGACATTTAAAAAAGCCTTCACAGTTCTGGAACAACATCCTATGGACAGATGAGACCAAGATCAACTTGTACCAGAGTGATGGGAAGAGAAGAGTATGGAGAAATGAAAGGAACTGCTCATGATCCTAAGCATATCACCTCATCAGTGCAGCATGGTGGTGGTAGTGTCATGGCGTGGGCATGTATGGCTGCCAATGGAACTGGTTCTCTTGTATTTATTGATGATGTGACTGCTGACAAAAGCAGCAGGATGAATTCTGAAGTGTTTCGGGCAATATTATCTGCTCATATTCAGCCAAATGCTTCAGAACTCATTGGACGCCACTTCACAGTGCAGATGGACAATGACCCAAAGCATACTGCAAAAGCAACCAAAGAGTTTTTTAAGGGAAAGAAGTGGAATGTTATGCAATGGCCAAGTCATCACCTGACCTGAATCCGATTGAGCATGCATTTCCCTTGCTGAAGACAAAACTGAAGGGAAAATGCCCCAAGAACAAGCAGGAACAAGACAGTTGCTGTAGAGGCCTGGCAGAGCATCCCCAGGGATGAAACCCAGCATCTGGTGATGTCTATGCGTTCCAGACTTCAGGCTGTAATTGACTGCAAAGGATTTGCAACCAAGTATTAAAACGTGAAAGTTTGATTTATGATTATTATTCTGTCCCATTACTTTTGGTCCCTTAACAAGTGGGAGGCACATATGCAAACTGTTGTAATTCCTACACCGTTCACCTGATTTGGATGTAAATACCCTCAAATTAAAGCTGACAGTCTGCAGTTAAAGCACATCTTGTTTGTTTCATTTCAAATCCATTGTGGTGGTGTATAGAGCCAAAAATGTTAGAATTTTGCTGATGTCCCAATATTTATGGACCTGACTGTATATACCTGTGTATATGTCCACAATTTCACCAGGACTCCTAATGGGTCTTTTTGCTGATAATATCAGCAATTGTTCCCTAATGTGGATAAGTCTGCCTTAGTCATGAGAGAACCAAGAAGGAGAGAAAGGGAGTCAGAGAGAGAACAACAAAGTGTGAAGAAGTGGGGAGGGCAGGGGCGGACTGACTATTCAGATACTCAAGCACTGCCCGAGGGCCCGGGGTCAGTAGGAGGCCCATGAGATGTCCCTGGTACCTTTCATAGGCTTTTTTGGGTGTGGTTTGAGTGTGGCCGAGGACACAGATGCCCCATGATCCCCTATTGCCCAGGGGCCCAATGAGTTGTCAGTCCACCCCTGGGGGAGGGAGAAAGAATTTGAAGAGTGGGAGGACAAAGGGGAGGGGGGGAGTGGGAGTAGGAATGTGTGGGACCAGGGGTGCAGTTGGATGGGCCCTGTTCCTGTCAAATAGGTCTCCTCAATCCCATAGGAATGGGGTACTGCCATGAGGACACTGAGTAAAGAAGTAAAAATTATTCTTGGGATCCCATGATGGCTCTGTACTCCAAGGAGCAATTGAATTTGGTCCAATAAAACCAAGTAGTGTGGAAGCATTCTTCCCTGCCATTTGCTGGTGCTATAACTCCATCCATCTGTTTTGTCTCATTAATCTTGGCAAACCATAAGCTGATAGGAGAGGACATCCAGTGCTTCCAGAACAGCGGAATACTGTACATTCTTTTCCAGTATTCAGTAGATGAATGAGCATAGAATGCATGTAACGTTTCAAAGACATAGTGGTCAAATGTAGCAGGAACGCTGCCGTGTTCTCTGGCATTTGAAGATCTGTTAGTTTAAAGTGGTTGTAAAGGCTGAAGGTTTTTTACCTTCGTGTATTCTATGCATGAAGGTAAAAAAAACTGCTGTGTGCAGCAGTGGGGGGCCTATTGTACTAATTGGGAGAAATAGTTTCATTTTTTAAAATGATTCTTTGTCCTGGTGTTTACATATGTCTGTGAGATTGTCACTTGTGGCACAGTAAGTAGTAGTATTTTGTGGGTGCCAGGAGTGCAGCATACACTGTATGCATAGTGTATCCCATGTAAGCCAATCCCACTGTGCGAAGGTGCAATCCTACCCACCATTCACTACATTGTTTCTACATTCTATCCCAGGGTGCCCAAAGTTTTTCCCAATCTTAGTCATGCACAAATGTCACACTGTTTTGGCTTTTGCCCTTATAGGTGTTAGTAACATTTACATATTGTTTATGCTGGTTAAATATGGATTGAAATGGTGGTGTGATTTTGTGGGTGGAAATAAAAGAAGGCATGGTTAATTTAGTTTCCTTGGACTTCATTTTGAAAATCTGCTCACCTTTTTCTCTACAGTACAGGTACTTTCTTCATACATATAAAGAAGGCCCTGTGACATCACCCTTGCTTACAGGAATCAGCCAAAGGTGGGAGAGTACTGAAAATATTTTTTACCTTTTCATTTTTTTCATAGTTTCTTTTTCTCTTTAATCCAATTTTTTAACCTGGGTTTGGAGGGCTTCCCAATAAGCAGGCCTTGCATTTTCATTTAAGGTGCGCTTTACGACTGGATAATTGGAGAAACCTAACTCCCATTTTCAAATTATCAAACTCCCAAGACACCATTTATACTAATTATGCACATCATGATGCCATCTTACAGATATCTCTATTGCTATATCAGCAAAAAAACAAAAATCAGATGGAATTTCCAACTTCCTCTCCAGGCAATGAAGTCTTTGAAGGTGCTGTTATGATGTTTAACCACTTCCCACCTGTCCTCATATGATGTCTTCCTGGAACATGTGGCCACGCTGTGGACACAGCTGATGGCAGATCACTGTACCAAGTCGCTGCCAGTACCATGTGATTGCTGTGACCAATCATAGCAGATCACTTGACAATTGTAAACAGTAAATGGCTTCGATTCATGCCATTCATTTTGTACAATTGTGTTGCTAGCTGTGATTTGTCACAGGAATCACATGGTACAGACAAGGCCAATCACAGCCCATATGATTAGATGTGGCCAATCCTAGCTAATCACAACAATACACACTGTGTGAATCAATTTAATTCAGTAAATACGGTTGCTTACACCAGTGAAAGGTGCAGATGCTGGAACATGTTACCTGTTAAACCCTAAAAATGTGTGGAACATGTAACATGTTCCAAAGGTGAACTTATCCTTTAACGTACTTGTTTGCTGATTTTCTTTTAATTTATTTATTGTATTTTTTGTTTTTTTTTAATTATTATTTTTGTAGAGTAATACTGCAAAAAAACAAAAAAAAAATTAAACATTCCTTTATTTTATTTGTTAAATGTTCTCCATGTTTTGTGGTAGTAATATACATTTTATACCTTTATAAAAGATGCACATTGCAGAACTTAATTTGTATTTTTCCATTTGGAAACTGACAAGTTATAAGCTATTTTAGTTACCAGATACAAAACAATTTTTGGTTACCATAATGTTCAGGAAAACCTACTGTACTTCTGTTTCATAATGCTTAATAAGAGCAAAGTGGTATTAAACCCAAAACCAGAAGGGGTTAATATACAAAAACTGGAGAGTGCAAATCTGGTGCAGTTCTGCATAGAAACTAATCCACTTGCAGGTTTTTTTTTTTTGTCAAAACTAAATTGAACAAGCTGAAGTTAGAAGCTGATTGGCTACCGTGCACAACTGCAAAAGATTTTGCACTCTCCAGCCTTAGTAAATCAACCCCAAAATGTAATATATTGCCGCTTTCCAATCATTAGATGTGGTTGCTGCAGTTTTCCTTTCTTAGGTTTTTCCCTTAATTTTCACCTGGTAATCTGGCCAGTAACACACTTGCTGTATTAGACAGACTCTGGATGTAGGAGCACAAAAACCCCCTTGGACAGCAACATTGTCAGTCTAGGGGGAGAGGGGTTTTACTAGCAAATATATATGCTAACAAATTGAAGACAAACTCCAACCAATACTTTATAAACCGTTACAGCAACAGTTTTTTTTTCCTTTTGGGATAAAAGTTTTACATAAACAAAAGCTGATTATGTAAGCACCCCTGCCAGTATTAAATGGTTTGTCTCATTACTGCAAATGATGCATTCTGATGGAGAGTGTGTTCTTAGTGGCCAGACCACCAGATGCAAATGGGAGAAAGAAACCCTAAAAAAAGAAAATGAATGCTTTAATTCACATAAGTTTCAAGTTTTTACCAGCCTTGTTTTAGCCTTGTACACTGAAAAAGCCAAAGCCACTTTGTACTGCAGTATAAATACTGTAAATATTTCTAGTCAGCCCAAAAAGTCCAAAACAACTGATTGCTAGTGCTTCTGAGATTGCTCAACAAGGTGGCCTATGATCTGCTGTTTCTACCAACCATGAAGATCCTCTCCTCTTAAACATCAGCCATAGGACTCACTGAGCATCACAACTGTCCATCTCTTGAAGAAGGAAAGAGATGAGCTGCACTAGCAGATGTTGTAAACCCTGACTATCTGAGAATGCAAAATAGCAATCAGATGCAGTTTTTTAACTTTCCAGATCATATGTTCCTCCAGACTGCAGCCAGACATTGAAGACAGGGCCCCCATATACATGTGATTGCTGACTGATCTGGCCAGAAATGGGCAGATTAGGTGACTGTCATTTAATGTCTATGGCTATCTATTTTACCTGTAATGTGGCCTCATCCAATCACAAATGGAGGGGGTATGTGGCAGTGGCTTTAAAAGCTTATATTTATCATTAGAAATTGTGAAAATTGTAATCACTATGATTAATATGTAATTATTTGTTTCATCCCCAGTCATTGCTGTTTCATATGACGTCATTGCACTTTACATGTTGCAAACAGTAATTATCCAAGCATAATGATATACACTATATTGCCAAAAGTATTGAGACGCCTGCCTTTACACACATATGAACTTTAATGGCATCTCAGTCTTAGTCCATAGGGTTCAATATTGAGTTGGCCCACCCCTTGCAGCTATAACAGCTTCAACTCTTCTGGGAAGGCTGTCCACAAGGTTTAGGAGTGTCTATGGGAATGTTTCACCATTCTTCCAGAAGCGCATTTGTGAGGTCAGGCACTGATGTCGGTTGAGAAGGCCTGGCTCGCAGTCTTTGCTCTAATTCATCTCACAAAGTTGGGAGCATGAAATTGTCCAAAATGGTTTTGGTATGCTGACACCTTAAGAGTTCCCTTCACTGGAACTAAGAGGCCAAGCCCAACTCCTGAAAAACAACCCCACACCATAAAACCCCCCTCCACCAAACTTACACTTGGCACAATGCAGTCAGGCAAGTACCGTTCTCCTGGCAACCACCAAACCCAGACACGTCCATTGGATTGCTAGACAGAAGTGTGATTCATCACTCCAGAGAACATGTCTCCATTGCTCTAGAGTCCAGTGGCAGGGTGCTTTACATCACTGCTTCCAATGCTTTTTGCATTCCAATTGCACTTGGTGATGCAAGGCTTGGATGCAGCTGCTCGGCCATGGAAACTCATTTCATAAAGCTCTCTATGCACTGTTGTTGTGCTAATCTGAAGGCCACATAAACTTTGGAGGTATTTAGCTATAGACTCTGCAGACAGTTGGTGACTTCTGTGCACTGTGTGCTTCAGCTTGTGCTGACCCCGCTCTGTCAATTTCGTGGCTGAGTTTCTGGTGTTCCCATTTGCTTCCTCTTTGTTATAATACCATTAGCAGTTGACTGTGGAATATTTAGTAACAAGGAATTTCACGGATGGACTTATTGCAGAGGTGGCAGCCTATCACGGTACCACGCTTAAATTCACTGAGCTTCTGAGACCTACCAATTCTTTCACAAATGTTTGTAGAAGCAGTCTGCATGCCTAGGTGCTTGATTTTACACACCTGTGGCCATGGAGGTGATTGGAGCACCTGAATCCAATGATTTGGAGTTGTGTCCCAATACTTTTGGCAATATAGTGTAATTATTTTATTTGGGGCGCCAGGACTGCAATATGTTATTGTGGGAACATGTCATAATATAATTGTTCTTGATGATATGGTCAATTTATTTTCGCAAGCTCTGTTTTTTTTTCATACATGCACTGTACAGAAAACATTCCAGTTCCATACACTTGTAGTGGGGATGAACA